GGGGGGGGGGGGGGGGGGGGGGGAAGTTGGGGGTTGAGGGCAGGAATGTGTAATGATCTACGTGGATGGATGGGGTTAGTCAGCTGTTTGCCTTGGTGGCAGTCTCAGTTGAGTTGGGTCCATTTATTTTGCTCTAGCTGCGATGATGCCCATTCCAAGGTTCGTTTGTCCTGTGAGCGGTGCAAACAAGTTTGAAGCCTTGCAGCTCATTTCTTTTGTCCGTCTGAGCGAAGTGCTAGAGTTCATGAAGTTCATGTGCAAGCTGCATGTCCATGCGTGTTTGTATGTTGTATTCGTGTGCATGTTGCATTTACGTTGATGTACACATCTGTGTATGAGACAGATTGTGTGTGTGCATGTCTGTGAATGCACAGATGCATGCACACATGCATGCCCCCAAGTGCACAAATGCATGCGCGAAAATGTGCATGCATGCATGCATGCATGCACACAAATGCACATGCATGCATGCAGCCAGTATGTGCGCGAGACAGCTTGTGTGTTTGTGCACGTGCATGCATGTGTGGGCCGCGAGAACTTTGTGCATGCCTATGCTGCTGAATGGAAATGGAAGGCAGCAAAGGTGATGCTGGCCCTTTGTGAAGTGCAACGTTCCCCACACTTGTGTTTAGTGGTTTAAGGAAGATCGTAGCCACACAAGTATGTGCAAAAAACGCTTGCATTCCCCGCAGTCTATGACAAAGCTACAGCATAACTGTCGGGAGATGAACAGAACGGGAAAACACTAAGACCCTTGCATTCCCCACAGTCTATGACAAAGCTGCAGCATAACTGTTGCGAAAAAAGACTGATTCCAAAGTTGACGCTGCACTCAACAGCCACTTCCGTGTGTGCGCATACGGGCACGTGTGTGTGTGTGTGTGTGTTATGATGTGTGTGTATTGTCCTCCAGGACATCGGTTAAAATTGGAACGGTACTGAGAAGATTAGCATGGCCCCTGGGCAAGTAATGCCAAGTATGACACACATAAATCGAGAACTGGTCCAAAATTGTAAAAAAATAAATGAAAACTTTGAAAAGTTTAAACTTTAAATAAATAAATAAAAATGATGTGTCTGTAATTGACTCTGTAAGATTATTGGGCCCCAGCAGATCATGAGCTATGGACCACCACCATTATCCACACACAGTCCTCCGTATGAATACCCGTTTGAGACATGAGTAACTCCCAAACATGCATTCCGATGCTTCCCAGCCTGGTGCACCATCGAGCATATGGCGCACGTGACCCCATCATGTGTGCTTGACAAAGGATATACATAATATCGCACAACACAGATTGCTTCTTTGGACTTGCACTTGAAGGGTACCCATAACGAGGCCGGACCCTCAACCGTCTGCAGAATCCCTTTACTGATGTCTTTTGTTATGATCCGCGTTGACCCCTGTTGACGAGTTGACGACCAACAGGGTGACATGCACTTGAAAGCAAGCAATAGCGAAGTATGTAGATTGGAGGGCATAGGGGAGGTGGGTGGGAAGCCAAATGACAAGGCAAGCAAGACGACAGAAGGATAGCAGCAGGCAACAAGCCGCCAAACGAACAAAACAGCAGCAATCTAGCTTTCTAACCCGGGCGCACGGGGTAACCCACGGCGCCCGGAATGACGCTCGGGGCGCTCGGCCCGGCGACCCCCCCGGTCGGCCTCCCGGACCTCCCCTACGCCAAGGCCAAACGGGCCTCAAAAAAAAAAACAATTGCGCTGCCGTTGGTTGGCCCGGATGCTAAACGAAAATTTTGCAGTCGGTAGGTTTTTTTTCAGGGCCGGTAAGGCCACATTTCACTCTTTTTTTTTTTTTTTGCATCCTGGGCCGTTGATCGTCCCAGATCGACGGTGAAGGGCAGCTCCAGGTTTCAAATTTGAAACCTCGCCACCCCGCTCACGCCCGTGGTCCGCCCTGTGAGTCGTGCCCTTCCCGCCCCGCGAGATCACATGTGGCAGTCGTCATCACGCTGCAGCCGCCATCTTCACCTCTGCTGTGTAACCTCCTCCACATGCCATCGTCACGTCTGCTGCGCCATCGTTGTGCCACGCACAAAGGGCGCGGAGGTGAGCTTTTTTTTCTTTTTCTCCTCTTTTTCTTCTTTAGTCCTTCTTCTTCTTCTTATTCTCCTTTCTTTTCGTCTTCATTTCTAGTAACTTTCTACTTCTTAGTAGTCCCTGCTTCTCTTCTCAAGTTCCTATTCTTTTTCTGTGTTTCATCTTGTTGTTCCTTGTTTTCTCCTCCTCCTTGTTCTTCGGCGTTGGCATCTACAGTGTAAACTTCTCTTTTCCTGGGTGCGCTTTGTAGCCCACTGCTAGTCGCTTAGCACACTTACTCTCTGCACTCATTCGCCTCCTCCCTCCTTGCATCTCCATTGCTGCCCTCCTCCCTGTCTCTCGATCGTTTCTCTCCTCCCCCCCTGTCCATTGCCTCCCTCCCTCCTCCGGCATACCTTGTCTCCTCCCTCCTCCCTCCCTCTCCATCGCCTCCTTCCTCCATACTCCGCCATACCCTGCCTCCTCCCTCCTGCTTCCATCTCCATCGCCTCCCTCCTCCCTCCCTCTCCATCGCCTTCCTCCTCCCAACTCTTCCATACCCTG